AGAGAAACTATTTGTTCTGTAAGCCTTCACCTGAAGTACAATAAAAAATAAATAAATAAATAAAAATATATTAAACAACCAAGCTAGAAAGGAGAGACGGGGAAGAGAGATGCTAAGCCATATGATGATCACCCAGGAGCAGAGACTCAAAAGAGACAAGGACCTTCCTCCAGAGCCAAAAGAGAAAAGTTTCCGTTTGAGCTGGCAGCTTGAATTCAAACTTCTAGCCTCCTAAACTGTGAGAAAATAATTTTCTGTTTGATAAAAGTCACCCACTGGTGATATTTCTGTTATAGCCGCACTAGATAACTAAGACAATAGGTACTATGGGGACTGCCTAAGATAATAAATAAAAAAACTGCTTGTAGCAGAGTACCTGGCATATATATAGTAAGTGCTCAATAAATTGCCACTATTATTATTTTTTCTTATTATTAGAACAGTAACATTAGAAATAAATTGTTCCAAAATAAATGAAAAAATAGTGTTACTACTGTAATTGTACTAATTACCAAGTCAATTTCAACATTTATTCTGATGAGGCAGAAAGAATTCTTCCCAAACAAGCAATCCTTGATAATCCATGACATACTCTGGGAGAATGATTCTAAACTGAATACATTATTTTTCAGAGTAATCAAGCAAAATGTAGACAATACAAAGAGACTAAGGATTCAATCATAGCCAGTTACTTAGTAAATGCATGTTTTACAGACGCTTATGGTCATTATTTGAGGGGAAAAAAAGAAAGAAAATTCAACTAAAGGAAAAACATACACATCTCAACAAACAGACGGCAATATCAAAAATAAATACAGTCACAGGATTATGTTGAAAATTATACAGTTTCAGCAGAGGTAGAACACCTACTTCTATAGAAATAACTTCTAGGAGAAAAAAATCTACAGCTCCCTCTTGTTGTTTACCTGGATGAGTCATGGTGACTGGCTCCTCCTTGGATTTATTATTGTAGATGACTACAGCAACTGCATTGTGGAAAGCAGCCCGTGAAATTTTCTCTTTAAATGTACAATTTCCTCTCTGCAGCAAGGCAATCCACTGTTTGATATTAGGAGGAACAAAGAACCGTGTTTGAGGATCACAGCCCAGATGATCAGCAACTAAACAGAAAAGGAAAAACACACACAAATATATTAATTTTTTCCTGAGTAAAGAAAAATCAATAAAACTTCTCAAGTCTTTACCACAGTGCTCAACTGTCCTCTGAACACTTTATAGCTCTAAAGCACTTCAAGCGCCTTGCTGCCAGCAGAGCTATGAATACATCCACAAACAACGGTACAATGAGTCTGAATCAAGATTTGTACAAAGAGCCACTCCACTAAAATTCAACCTGTGACGCAGCTTAAAACAATGAAAGTCTCTTTTTAACCTTACAGGTTGACCAAAAAAAAAAAGAGGCTGATAATATCCAGTGTAGGTTGGTGAATAACAGGCAAAACCAGAAAGAAAAAAAACCAGAACCCTAGTTCTGTGCCCTAACCCTTACATCTGCTCATTCATTCGCACTTACAACCTCCCCACTCCCACGGAGGTGAGGAAAAAGGAGATGAATTTTGCTTGGGATAAATGAGAACGCCAAAGTAACCTCTGGTTCAGTTATCAACTGGTCTCGCTGAAATTCATTTCTGCTTGAAAAATTCCTTAATAAGTATCTATGGAAATGAGAAAATTTTGTTTTGGCCTGTATTTGAAAGTTTAAATAGTGAAGATAATATTAAGCAAGAATAAATACATTATTTCTCTAATTTATATTTATTGGTAAAGATTACTCTACGATTCCACGTTAACGTAAGTATTAATTTACTTTATCCACCTGTCTAAAGGGATACATGAAAATACCGAGACCATCCCTTGGGACTACAAATTACAGGCCATTGTTATAGATTTTCTGGACAGCTGGTTTCAAATACCAGTAAGTACATTTGAATTTGTCAGGCCAAGGTCCTCAATTTTTGATTTATGGTCATCATAGCTATGGTACCCTTTGCAAATCTTAAAAAGAAGCCCCTGGCTTCTCTTTACCACTCTCCTACACCCTCACGCTCTGAAAGGGGAGGGCAGTCCAGAAGGGGAAAAGAAGTCACAAAAAGTAAGCCGTAGGGCTGTTGTATACAGTGGTGGAGAATGGAGAGCCTGATGCCCCCTGGAGTCAGTAACTGCCAGAACAGCGTGTGTTAGGGAGGGGAGGTGAACACATCATATATTTGATACGCCCAGAAGGGTGACTCTAAAAGAAAATGAAGAAGGAAAAAGAAGAGTAGTTGTGGTACACAAAACATGGCACCAGTGGGGAAACATTTGCTTTCCACACACCTGGAAGCCCACTGCTTCGCAAAAGACCTAAATGCTTACACTACTTAAAGAAACTGTAAAATGTAGATATGCCACTAACTTCAGAGACTTTCAGAGAAATATTACTGTAACATTCCTACACAGATAATATCTTTCCCAAAATTCTCTTATAATTATCACGTTGACAGACTGCAACGAGAGAGTATTTGCTATCAGAGGTCTCATAACACATACAGTGGCAGATAACTGATTTCACAATTCGTCACGATGGATACTGTCTACAACTATTACCTACCCTTTTCCTTAAATAATTTCTGAACTCTGAAATTTCAATCCTTTTTCAATCAAACTAAACAGGAAAATCAAAGCCTATGTCATGATTTGGTAGCCGAGTATTAAAGAACAGAGTCAAGGCATCGAGAAACTAGAAATCCTGGAAATAGCTGTTTTCTTTCAGTGTTATCTGTTTTACAGATAATTATGCTGTTTTAAAACATAAGCATTTAGGCAACCTATCATGATAACCTCACATAAGCATTTAGGCGACCTATCATGATAACCTCATTGTCTTAGGAGAACTTCCAATACTGTATTCAAATAGAGAGCAATCAAAAAACTTGTTTTAAGTGTTATTTTTCAAAACATACTGTGGCATAAACCCTCAAAGGAAATGCAGAACCAAGACTATCAAAACAGATTTGCATGCCTGCCTTTTGTGAAACATTCACTCATTTTCCTGTGACTTATCCCTTCCTCCTTGTGGTTTCACACACATTTATAGTGCAGTAAAGAGGAAAGAACAAGGTTGTGGAATCAGCAAGAGCTGGGGTCCAAATTCTAGGTCAACTACTTACTACTTGAGCAACTGTCACAGGCTACTTAAATTTTGATCTTCAGTAAAGACTGAAATAAAATTCCCATCTCACACAACTGTGTATATGAAAAAATCTATAAATTCCTTTACCCTTGAATGAGTGCTTAAAAAAATTTTTTTAAATTAATTCCGTTTCCTTTTATTTTATTGGTGTTCACCCTATCCTGTCTTAATGACCCAGTCTGATGCCTTGGAGATTTTCTGTCCTAGTGTATGTGCAACTCAACCACATAACTCAGCAGTACACTTCCATCCCATATCCCTCTGCTCCTGACAGCTTCCACTCCCAAGTCTCGTTCTCTTCCTGTTCCTTTTTGGACAGTGTTGCTGTCTACTTAGAATGGCAGTTTAGGAATATGCACAATGTCCTAAGAGTAAAAAACAAAACAAAACATAGCGGGGGTGTATCTTAGTTATCTAGTGCTGCCAGAACAGAAAAACCACAAGTAGATGGCTTTAACAAACAAATTTATTCTCTCACAGTCTAGGAGGCTAGAAGTCCAAATTCAGGTTGTCAGCTCCTGGAGAAGACTTTCTCTTCTCTGTCAGTTCTGGGGGAAGATTCTTGACATGAATCTTCCCCTGGTCCAGGAGCTTCTCAGCACAAGGACCTCAGGCCGGTAAGGACGCGCTCCCCTCCTGGTTCTTCACTCTTGGTGGCAAGAGGTCCCAGTCCTCTCTGCTCCATTCTCTCTTTTATATCTCAAGAGACTGACTCAAGATACAACATAATCCTGTAGACTGACTCCTCTCTTATTAATATAACTGCCTCTAATCCTGCTTCATTAACATCATAGAGGTTAGGATGTACAACATAGGATAATCACATCAGATCACAAAATGGTGGACAACCACACAATACTGGGAATCACGGCCCAGCTAACTTAATACACATTTTTTGGAGAACACAACTCAATCCATAACAGGGTGCAACCACAAAGTAAAATACTTCAAACATACTGTAGGAGGACTTATGAATTTTCCTAAAGGAATTCCCTCCCACGAAGAACAGATTCTATGAACAAATGTATGATCAAAACAAATTCAACAGACTGTATGAGCAAACAAATGTTCCTGCTCCCCAAAATTCACCCATATCATCATCCATAAAGTCTCTGAAAACATTTATATCAGTAAGAATATAATATGCAATAATATGTAAGAATAAGATACACAAGTTCCTGTTCAAGGAAGTACTGTTCATTATTCAGAAAAAGAAAACATTGGCTTTCCATAATCACTTAATACTGTAGTATGCTCACTTTATCTAGGTATTCCTTCCTGTGATTAAGGAATATACAAACAATGAAAATAATATTAACAGCTCTAAAACAAGTTTTCAAGAAGACTGATAGCCGAGTATGATTAAGTGGCACTACTTCAAAATTTAGCATCAGTTATTTATACTTGAAGCAATGTATTAAATGAAGACATATTATAGCATAATAGATCTATGTAGTAATTATGAACCATTAAAATTTATCAATAGCAATTTTGCTCAAATTAGTAATTACTTTAACTTTGGTTTTTCTTACTTGCCAAATTCGTAAGACGATACTACCTCTGCTTGTTTCTGTTTATTAGTTACACTGTCAGGAAAAATTAGAAATTATAATAAAATAGTCAAACTATAGATGATACAAAATACTATATTACATAAAAACTTAATTTTAAAGAACTGCTAAATTTACTGGGGAGGCATGACTGGCACATAAATTAAGTATCAACAAGACAGTACAGATTAAGTGCCAACACGAAGAGTACTTAGAAATTTATGAAAGGAAGAGAACATAACGATAAAGGTTTAGTGGGAGTTGGAACCTAAGCAGGGCCCCTGAAAATTGCCCAAGCAGAAAGAACAGGGGTGCAGAAGTGACTAGCAAAAGAACACAGAACAATGATTAAGCCCCTCTCTTGAATTCTGGTGAAAATCAAATAAGATGATACGTAACTGAAGCTATAACACTATACAAATTTAAGATGATCAAGTTCTGAAAAGAGCACCCCCATCTGTAATGGGAAAAGAAGAATATTCTGGTATGAAGAATATGTAAATATGTAAAGGGTTCTGTTAAATAGGAGCCCTTGTGGTACAATGGTTAAGAGCTACTGCTGCTAACCAAAAGGCTGGCAATTTGAATCCACCAGCTGCTCCTTGGAAACTCTATGGGGCAGTTCTAAATAATAAATAAGATTGTCCTTCCCCACTCTACCAGTCTGAAATTCCCTGCTTTGATTTGATTTAATAAGACCTCATCTCTTTAAAACGCAAACCTCTCACATGATAAGTAGTAGTCACCACTTTATTGTGTGTGTTAATGGTTAACGGTTTCCTTCCTAACCCTGACAATAGGTCAACTGTCTTCAGATGAGAGTCCCGCAGGCTGGGGCAGAAGAGAGAACTGAGGAAAGCGTTTTCTGCAGAATAGTCACGACAGGTTGTCTTCACTCCAGGCACACAGCACAGTTGCCCAAATGTGCCTCTTGGATCTCAGAGCCTGGAATATCTTGTTTCATCTGCCTGATATGCCAATCCCACCATTCTCCTGCTGACCATACCTTCTAAACCTCAGGATTCCACTAAAACATCTCCAAAAACCTTCGATGGCCTCCTAAGGCTGAACTGGGTGCTGTTTCCATGGCGCTCTGGGATTATATCCAGTGTGGCATTTATTGAACTGTAACTGTTTATTTCTGAGTCTCTCCTAAAATGTGAGCTCTATCATCTCCTCCAATGTGTATGGCACACAGTAGATGCTTAACATACTTGATGAAGGGAGGAGGAGAATGACGGGGAGATTAAGCAAGAAGTGACATAAAGAGAAAGCTTGTGCCAAAGGTCTCTCTTTGTTTCATGCGGTAATGTTCTGACTGGAGTAATGTTCTATCAGCTGTTACCCACAAAAGAAGTAAAAATAAAAATAAGCCTAA